CCACGGTGCCCAAAAAATCTTCAACTGCCAATGAAAGTGACTCTGTATGTTGATCCAGTTGTGGAGCGTAGAAGCGAACTAATTGGCGATCCTAAAGACACAGCCACTGGTAATTTGATTTGTTTACGAGGTAATCTAATAGGTACAGCCGGGTGTGGTGCGTTAAGAACAAAATGGTCGCGTCGCGGTGAGAGGGGCGTCGCGCGCGAAGGAATGTAGCAGGATGCAGCAGTAGGTAAGAAGTACAAGAACAAAAGTGCTAATAGTAGAATTATGCATAAAATAATGATAGCATATCGGTTAAGCTGTATGAAGAACGCTCGAGCTGTAATAACGGCGAATGAGTGATGCGCGACAGCCGCGTGCGGCAAATCGATTGCCCAAAATCGTTCCTAACGCCCGTCTTCCGGCACAGCCAAAACCCCAAATAAATTCATGCATCGGAAAGGTAACCCGGGTCTCTAAAGTAGTGCAATGGATCAACTCAATGTAGGAATTTCTGTTCGGAATAGTGTGAAATTTTGAGGCTTTTGCAAAAGCTACACAAAGATTTCTCGGGCATCTGATATCGGAGGCACATTTTGATGTTTAAATACTTCCGGATTTTCTCGAAATACTAATAACAACTCAAAGTGTGCTTTTCGGAAACAATCCCGCCACTATACTACCAAAATTTTCTCCTACTAACACAAAAAATCCTCTTCGACCTTTCAGATTTTTTTGAGGTTAGGCTTTTCAATGATTCCAAAGCTGTGGAGTAAATAGGGAGCAGGGGCATATGATGTGAGTTTCGTGAACATGGAGGGCAGAGTGCGGCTTATCGTTTAAAGGCACTTATTGGTCATCTTTGTTGAATGCGACCAGACCTCCAGTGTATTAAAGGCTGTACCTGAATGAGGGGCAACGAAGTTAAGGAACTCTTTAAAGGATGAGGGTAAAGCCTCGAGGCGTTGATCAATCTCGTCTGATGGATGCGCCTACGCATACCACTTCCATTAAGAATCGTAGTGGCGTATTGGATGCGTATTTGACCTATACAATGACTTGCGGTGTCCAGTCGATGTGCAGATCAGTGCTTTCATCCTCCCAGAGGAGTCTGGTACTATTTAATCGACCCAGGAGGCATGGAATGCTCGGTTGGCCTAGGCGGATATCGATCTAGGATTCAAATCCCTGACCATGCGTACGTGAAGTGCGCCACTTGCCACTACACCAGGGAACATATTAGGCACTGATTTAACACAAATCTTTACAAAATATTAGCTCAGATAGATTTGCAATAAATCTGCACAGATATACCAGAGTAATGTTCCTAGAATTTCTAAGATCGTGGATCCTTACCAATGCGGACTGCGATGATTTGCATGCACGACGTGGGAGCGGCAACCAAGGACAACGCAAAATATTTTGTTATTCCAATGAGGATCGTATGGAAGGTCATAAAGCCATACAGAAAAACAGGATCAGTTAGAAACGAGCAGGAAAGAGGTATAAATGTTAGTGCCTTCATGATAGGATTATTAAAATAGGTTTTTCATTTTAAGTCACGGTTTCGCCGTGGATAAATGCATACCTCATCACTAATCGAATTATTTACGGCATTGTTGAAGGCATTAGATCGTCCAGGAACAACATCGTCCAAATAGGCGTAGTCCTAAAAGGCAGGGCTCAGAACGAAATGCTCAATCAACTGAAGAAAAACCTTTGAACGCACCTGGAAGAGGTTCTCGCCCTCACTGACATTCGATTCAAGATCGTCCTCTTCGATTATTCTGGTCTCCTGTAGGCGATGAGGGCCCGACATTGGACCATAACGCTGCAAACCATTCAACTGAGGAGCTTTTGAGCATTCTCCGTTATCCTGAGATGGAGTAGCCGAAGGGCGGTCGCGCGGCTGTAAGCGTAAAGTATAAATCATCGCAAATACACGAATAAATTTCGTCGCAAGTAACCTCGTCCGCAAAAGTGACTCGTCCTTTCGGCTTGTCGCTGCTGTGCTTTGTCACAAGTATAGACGACGGTTGTGATGAATCAGATGACGTCACAGTAGACGTTGACGACGATGACAAGCGCTTCGTTTCGTCCAAAAACGGAGGCGATCTTAAGAAATTTTCAATAACTCGTCCTAAAGGGCGTTCGAGTGAATAAAAATCTTACCCTAATAAATGCGGAGAACGATCCGTAGCTCTAGGTTGAGCAACACTGACTAGTATGGGGGTTTCCATTTTGGAATCCGAAATGGGACTGAGAAATACAACAGTGGGAGATGGAATGAGAAGTTGCGTCCATTGTAGAAGACGTCGACAATCCGAGGGCACCTGGAATATCCTTCATTTACGGCACAGTCAGCGAGGCTTGACGTCCCAGAAGACATCATACCTTCTGAATAGCAGCGATGAACTGGTCCAGGGTGTCCATAGTTCGCGAACTTTCACTATCGCGCGACAGTACCGAAACAGTCCAACCAGCTGCGTCGAGGTTCTTCCGTAGATGCGTCAGATGACTTCGGGCTTCCAAAAGTGGCTTCAAGTAACCGTCAAGCTCTGGAAGACAGAGGTTAGAATAGAGCTTCCTAAACCCAACCGTTTCTCTTTGCGAATTACCTTCAGCTTTCGGATTCTTCCTATCAATAGATATTCGTCCGGTTCCATCGACAAATACTCCAAGTGCATCATGAGCTGTAGTGATGGCATCCCTGAGGGTGTTCAGATTCGACTGAAGAAGGTGTGGGGCCCGCCAATGTTGGGGAGCCGTCACCTGGAATTCGTGAAGTTGAAGGAATTCGCTTCCAATTGGATAAAATTCACCCCTCATTCGCTACAAAAGAGTGCCCAGAAATGGAAAAGAAAATTATTTGGAAACTTCTTTTACCTTGCCGATTTGTACACAGGCATTATCGATCGCTTTAAGACTCTCTGACATCTGGGAGCAGACGATCCGCTTTCTCGACTGAATCGCTTCTTCTTTGACATCACTGAAATCGGGACATTCTTCAGGGTTTCAAATCGTTTATTTTGCTGCTTTCATTAGCCAATTCTGACCACAACAAGCCTAGGACACGGTATACGGTAGCTCCTTTTCCTATGATTGCTTCACACACTGTCTTGGGTTCTCAGACCTGGATGAATCAGAGCTCGCCGCTATACCAGCTTGCATTACCCAATATGCCGCTATAAGGCCCTGACATGACTGAGGATACTGGGATTTCCCCATTGACCCCTGTCTGGATGAAAATTTCGCCTAGCTACAGTACCTATGGGAAGCTTTGTTAGCGTAATATTAACGAGCGAACTTCCACTTTTTCTTCGAGTACCCATCTTTGCTATGGGTCACGTGATGAAGTACTTCCAGCAATATAACCCCGGCGTAACCCATTAAACTCGTCCAGTTGCACTTCGAAGGTGTCCGTGCTTACCCGATTCGTCCTTAAAGACAACGAGATAACGGAATTTCTCGGGGAAACCCGACGCTTTGACATTTTTTCTCCAGCCCTTGACGTTATTTTGAATTATTATGCCGTTCCAACGGTTTACATCACCTTTACGAGCTTCACGACATTAATGGATACCACGTTCCATTAGTTCCACACACCACCGCTGATCGTTAAATGCCTAAGCAGCTATAAAACGTCGTAGGGTCTCCCAATGCTCTCATCGCTTTCATTACATTCGTCATTCTGAGATTGGGGTCTTCGCAAAAGGAGTTTTTTGGAGGTGGAATTCTCTTCTGTGACATGCGCCCGAACGAAATGCGCAATCTTGCGGCCACTTAAGCAAATCAGATCATTCCAATGCGTCAGCCATCACATCCCAAGGTCGTAACGTTACGGCCCATCAAAACGTGCCTCCCCATTGAAACATCTCCATACACGGTCGATATCTCATTTTACTAAGATCACTGAACGACTTTTTTTAGCAGACTTTATCGGATCGGGATGATATGAGAATCAATCATGAGCGAACGTTTGGGCGAATGTTTCAGACGGGACTTAAACCCAAACTCATCCATGGGTTTTCGGGCATTGTGTACTTATCCATCACAGCCCCTATCGAGAAAGGACGAAGGAAATCAAATCGAACTATTAATCTTCCCAACTGAATAGCTGTCGATAAAGAAAGTTCAGTCTTACACAGGAGGCCTCGGTTTCGGTGTAGTCACAGTGGTAGGAATGAGATTCCATCCAGGCGACTCGTTCCGTCGCATATCCTCCTCTACCGACACCGGAACAGTCATCCACTCTTTTCCGTTATTATTCTGAAACTTGATTAAAGTGATTAAAGTCCAATCGGACAATTAAAATCGATAAGAGACTATTGCTCATGGTACATAATAAAACAGAAGAGCGGAATTGGTTGAATGGTGACAACTTGCGGTGAATGGATGGATGAATAAATAAACAAACAAATAAATAAATAAATAAGTAAATAAATGAAATCGAAATCAACTAACAATCAGCTCGAAATGATGAAAAGGCAACGTTGCAGAGCAAATTTCAGAAAAATTCTAGACCTTTTTCAATTTTCATGAAGATGTCTGCAAATCTAGCAAAAGTACCCCTGAACGTTACTACATTATACAGGGTACATTTTATTATTTTTTTCCAGTGACTAGATTGAAATGTTCCACAACTATTTCACTCTAGTTTTAAAGTATATTAAAGGTATGGAGGTAATCTGTCTGGTGGGGCTGCTAAGTCAAAATATGCAGAAGCTCTTATACCCATGATCATCATAGCAAAGTCGAAGGCTTGGCTCATCTCAAGTGGTTCCTCACCAGTACAGTTTAGCGTCTACATAAATAATTACGAAAAGTGACCGACCTCTCCGAAACGTTTTATGTCAGGCCTCTCGATATTATCGAAAACTGTCTGCAGTACGCTGGTACTGACGGGATTCTCACGAGTCAGCCTACTGAGGTACGGCTGTCGAGGGTGACGAACGACGGCTGGCGGTTGTAATCTAAAAGACAGCTCTTGGCCCTCCAGATAGGAACACGGTTGCTGAACGGAAAAGGGGAAGACTTACTTGGCTTCTTCACTAGAGTCTGAGATCGAGCTATTCGGATCAACACTGGACAACGATGACAGGTCGCTGGCTCGCTGCAAATAGAATGGGGTACGTATTTACTTATTTATTCATTTGTTTACAACAATTGTTCTTTCACTAAAGACCGAACTTCATTGTGATATTTCAGTCCTTCAGAGGGAGGTTGGTTGCCCTGGTTGGAAAGTGCACTTGGGGAAGCTAGAAAAGAGTTTCAAAAAAGGGTAATTAATGGGAGAGAAAGTGTTTTTGCGGCCGTAAAAGTGATTCCACCGGCACATCTGTGTAATAATTAGTAATAAAATATTATTAAACGTTTACTGAACATCTGTATCATACTTTTTGAAATGACAGATTGAAAAGAACAGACTGGTTCTTATTACAGCAAAGACGTTTTTGTAATGTAACGGTCTGGGTTACATTCATCAAATGAATGACAATGTGATCGATCCGTCTCTGGGGACATTGTATGACTTGCACAGATGGTGGTCACAGATGCATGGGAACGATTTTGGGAATTTCTTTCGAAAAAAAAANAAAAAAACGGCAATCCAGCGGAATCAATGCCGTTCAGAGAAGCATAAAAAGCGTTATATGGCGTTTTAATTATTCGCCATCGAAAAGAAGGCCGGCGTCGACGCCGTAAGAGGCAATCAGTACTGTTCAAAGTAGTGACGAGAATGAGTGATCAGTGTAGTGGCATGAGAAAGAGTAGTACTAAGGACCACTTCATTGAGAAGGATCAAGAGTGATTCTCCAAATTCTCTTAGCTCGAAAGCCAATGATACCCTACAAAGTCTGGTAGCTATTAGATGAATCCCCCTACCACCGTCGCCCCTGGGTCAGGCTGATAAAAGTTCCGAAAAAATTGAAGTGTGATTGGAGGCTCTCTCTAATTTCCGTGTAGTCACATGTTTTCAACCACCCACTTCCATTTTTTACTCCTTTCCTATTTCCCTACAACCGTCTCTCCTTATTTGTTTGAGCCACACATTTTTCGGGGAAAAAGGCAGATTTCGATGAATCGTCAGCTGATGATGCTGACTTACTTTGTAAAAGTTTTTCGAGAAGCTCCTTATTCTACCACTTCGTCTTTGCGAAAAACTTCCCGGGCTCAAAAGTAGGTCAGCGTCAAAGTTGCTAGTTACCCCGCACAAGGAATGAGTTGGACAAGTTTACTATCTCCATTTCCCCTTTGGAATGCCAAAAACACCTAATCAAATGGGCTTCCACCTAGACGACGTGATACTTATTGTTAGTAGAACAGCCGTAACCATAAGGAGTTACCTTTCCTTCAGACATGCATTTCGTAAACATAACGTTCTCGGCTATCTGGAGTAGACCCAGAGTATGTAGCGAACTGACGGCTAGCGTTAAAGGGAATGGTTGCAGTCCATCGTTCGTTTATGGCCACTTACTCTTACCTTGTTTTGATGTGCTCGGGTTGGCAATGATCCAGTAAAAATCTACTCATATTTTGTTTTGCCGACGTGTACAGCTCGAATATCCCCCATAATCCTTGCAAAATAGGATTACGTTTTCAACAACACCATGAATCGGATACCCGGGCCCAGTTCAGTGACATGCTACGACCATGGATCATGAGCAAATGCCTGTTTCAAGTTGGATTGCCTTACAAGGAAGGGAATGGATTAGGGCCATAAGTTCGTAGGATAAAGAAGTAAACCAGAGATTTCCAAAGTGGTCGTGGAAGAAGAAGCTGGTCTGTACAGAGTGTAGGCGATTGGATAGGACAGGGTAGAATTCCTCGGTGGCCTTACAACAAAGATTGCGAGAGCCTCCCAGAGCTTCCAAGAAGCGATTACCAGTAGGACTTTTCCCATAAAAATCGAAAAAAATCAAAATCATTCCCATTTCCTCTTTTTTTTAC